CTACTACTGCTACTACTACTACGACTTCAACTACGACGACTACTTCTACGTCGACACCAACGCCTACTCCTACTCCTACCCTTACTCTCCTCCACCCTTCACTTCAAGTCGACTTGACACTATTTCCCGCACAAAACTGCATAGAAGCATAACCGCATCTGCTCTAGAACTGCCCGGAATCCCTTTCCAGGTCTCGCAATCGGCTTGTTCCCTTTACGAGCAGGGCGAATCAATTACGTCTTCAACTAGGAGACAACAAATACGCTGGAATAGACTCTTCCTTCTTCGTCGGTGGCAGCGGCGCATCCTCTTCCTGAGCGCTTGTGGTTTTACATGATAACACTCTTCGATGATGCTAAGAGACTATCAGTTGAACGAGATGCAATCAAAACTGCTGCATGCTCACACACTGTGCAGCCCAGTAAGCACAAGCAAAGGAACCTCAAATCGCTACTCCTGCTGGCAGGTAACAAGCACGGACGCTTCATGGGACAGAAACTAAACGGACAGTGGGGGATCTAAACCAACCCGACACCCAATGAACGACTCCGAATAGCAAGAAAGACAACAGTTGTTCTCGGTTTGTGGTCGTAAGACACCCGAAAGCACCATCACAGGGCTCACTGATGCCCTTCTCCAACGGCATCAATGTCGACTAATTATACCGCACACCACTCCACAGAGTTGAATCTGGAGCATCCCTGTTTTGCATCGGGACATGTGCAATCGCCTGAACATTAACTACCAGAATGCAAATAAATAGTAGTACTATTGTGACGATTATACCGTCACCAGGAAAGAAGCCCTGCACGGCAACCGGGCAACAAAGATGTCGTGAAGCCATCCGATGTGGCTGGCCGGGCAGGACAGCACGGGACGGCGGTCGGCGTCCTTCAGGAATGATAGATTCCACGCTGACGTGCGCTGCATAAATGTTGATATGAATGTTGATGCAGTGAGGCGCAGTCACGTAGTCTTACCTTGGTGCGATCTCCTCCGCTCAAGTGCCGCGATGTGTAGTGTTAACACATCATGAAGAAGATAATGCTGCCGTCTGTCAAGTTCCGGCCGTCTAAGTCGTGCAGTCTGCGAACATATGCAACCAAACCTCGCTTGATCGTTGTGATCTATAGTCCCTTATACTCTAGTATTTATAAAATTGTTGAAACTCTTGGGCAGCCGCCTGCTGTGCTGGCGCACTCTTATGAAAACCTCCGACATACTGGCGCAGGCGAAATCTTGCCACTTGTTCTTGCATGCGCAGCCTGGTGCTCTTACTCATGCCTGTACACAATCATAGTCTTGCAACTTGCCCTGGACCCATCCATAAAGCATAAACTTGCTGTGCCACTTTATGCTCCTTACTACCTCAGAAACCCTGACGGCTTCTCGAATGTAAAGTTGCACAGTGTTTCGAAGCTTAACTTCTGCAATGCTGTGAAGTGATCTTTCCACCCGGACCGCTTTCCTGTTGCTGGGAGAAGGAGATCTGCCGGCTGGTCACTAAAAAACATCTTAGAGGGCTTGTGGGGCAAGTGTTCCGGGCGTAGCTCCAACATCTTGGGGCACGTGACGATTCAGGGGGTGATGTCCAGGGGTGTGCAGGTCGAAATAGAATCAATTCAACATGCCTTAAGCCTTGAGCCCTGAACTTTGAACCTCGATCATCCGCAAAACCCATCCCTGAACGTTTGAACCCCAATCTATGGCTGAAGGTCGCGGGGTATCTGCTTCAAAGTCCCCAAACTGGCCTCGACGGCTGGGCTCGCAACATGGATGAACGTGTTTCGAACCTCCACGGCCTCCGGGCAATGGACTCTTGCTTGTGGGAGCTAGGATTAGGGGGACCCTTGGGGATATAGACCCTCTCAATAAGGTCCCTTTTAAGAGCGCCAACAGTAGGGTTCGGAAGGGGTACCCTTTAAGGGGTACCCCTAATCATACTACCTAGCTTGCAGGCAGCAGAGCGTTCTTCAACGACCAGCCTCTGGTGGGTACGCCGGGAAGTCGGGATACTCCTGACCAGCACGGTCTCGACTCACACACTCGCACAACCGAAGGTATGGCAAGTTGGTCCGAGCTTGCCACATGTACATCAGAGACGGTTTAGGGCTTAGGGTGTTTTTAGTGTTTGGGGCTTACGGGTTTTTGGGTTCAGGGTTTAGGATACTCCTGAAAAGCTGGATCCAGCGGTCAGGAAAGTTGCGGAGCCCATTCATCTCTGAGCAGACTCGACATGTTTGCCTGTTCAACGACCAATTGACTACTTGGACTGATCAGGCACTCTGCAGAAACGGCGCGCTTAAAACTTAGAATAGGCTTAAGGGGATACAATGGTAAGTATGATATACTTAAACTTATATACAATGACTACAAGGGGATACTGTTCCCAATTTCAGAACCTTCAGCCCTGCCAGACCAACAACCCCTCAAAGACATCCTCCTAGCATCCGAAAGAAGCCTTCTCAAAAAAACGCAGTACAGTATCAGCACCTTATAGAGAAGCCGGAATAATTGCCAACAGTATTTCTTAGGGTTCCGCGTGATAACTAGGGTACATGATCATACAATATACTCGCCCAAACCCTAGTCTAATTCTGAAGACCCCTTTTTTTTCGCCCGCACCCTAGACCCAAAACCCCTAAACCCCTAAACCCCCGAACGACGAGTCCGATCCAAAGGTCCCTTTTTATCCGCCTGGCTGCAGCCGGGGGTCCGATTCGATCTCTGTCTCCGGCAGGGAGATTTGCATCTTTGGGTTGGGGAACACCCGGCGCGTGCCTATGGGCGGATGCCTGGACGGGTGCAGCACGTTTGCCTTGGGGTACTCAACCCCCAAAAGACACATGAATACTGACTTGATACTAACACTAATGCTAGTACTCATGCTAATGCTAATAACCAAGACTAGTACTTGAAACCCTTGCTGAGCCAAAGGTGTGTACTAGTTGCTAGTGGTTGCCTGGACGTGAAAAACCTTCAGTCGTGAACCTTTCCTGCATGCGGGGCTTGAGGATTCTTGGTATTTGGCTTTGGCTGGAGTCTTCTGTCTGGTGCTTAGTAGGGAATAGGAGAATGGATCCCTATGATAGTCCCTGAAGGTCCCTTATAGTAGTCCCTATAACCCATTCCCCCATTCCCTACTAAGCACCAGACAGTCTTGGGGCTTCAGGGCTCCTGGGGCTTCAGGGCTCCTGGGATTGCGTGTTTGTGGGGCAGTTGTTTGCGCATGTTCTCGGAACCTTTGACTTCCAAGCTGGCTTTTTTGTGGCATAATGCAGGGGCCTTAATAACTAGAATGGGGTTTGGGGTGTAGTATGCTTTAATTAGTATTGGCAGTTTTTTCGGCCCCCATATTACTTTATGAACTTTACTCTTTTTTGCAGTATGTAAAATAGGGATTGGAAAGAAAAAGATCATCCAACTCAGGCTGGAGTGCTCGGGGCATCCGTCCATAAGGCAACCGCGAACTAACCATAAAGATGCTCTGATAACACCGGGCTACTGTAATAATGGTAATACAGAGCAATAGTCATGACACACTAGCAACAATAACAATAGCAGTGGTGAGGATATTACGAATGAGAATGGAACCAACCAAACTCACGACCCGGAAGACTTGAAAGCAAAAGCTCCAATTCACCGAATGTAAGACTGGACCTGGGAAGTCTTTTTGTGGCTGAGGGTCTGTCCCTCGGGTCCTGGGTAAAACGCATCTCACTTTTGGCCTTCTTTCTGTAGTCCAGGTGTCTTAAGGTGGATTCTAACGCTTTGGGGGTGCAAACGACCCTCACCAACACAGATCCCCCAGCTGTAATCAGAACCAACAGTTGCTCAATAGAGCCTAGGATATCTTCATGAGGCTCAACTGCATTTATGTAGGGGCCTCAATAGCTGGAATAGGGTTTTGGGCTCCTTTATAGTAAACTGGTACCCTAAAACCCTAAACCCTAAACCCTCATAAGGAACCTCAGGAATAACACTGGTAATCATTTAGGCTTCTTCACTATCATGGCCCGGCTGCGCAGCCGGACGTGTCTGGATGCTCTGCCGGGGTGAGTTGCTCGACGTGAAGCCTGGGTAATGCAGGGGCCTTAATAATTAGAATAGGGTTTCGGGCTCCTGCATGGAAAACTTATAATCAGGAACCGTGTGGAATATATTGAGGATTGCTTAGGTTTCTGTATTAACAGGTTGCAACCCTAAACCCTCAACCTTGCGCACTTTAGGCGCATTGGTTTATGGCGCAGTCTGGGGTAGAACTCCGCGATAACATGGTGCAATCTGCGACGCTGTGGCCATCACTACATGACGGGCTTCTTTTACATGCAATGGCCTGGCCTTACCTCACCCAAGAGCGCCGTAAACACCGAAAGGTTGGGAGCAAGATGGGAGTCTTGTTTAGGGCTTAGGGTTTAGGGTTTGGGGTTTAGGGGGTTTAGACGGTTAAGAAGCCTAAACCACCAACAGCAAAAGGATCCCTTCTGCTCTCAAACCCCAAAATTGGAACAAGTTTAGGTTCTGGCTGTACCTCCTCCTTTCCAAGCCACAGCCACTGTTGAGGTCAAAATCCAGCCTGCAGCGTTGCAGATGTGCGAAGACCGCCAAAGCCCAGCATGCATGAGAAGAGCTGGCAGGACTACCATCGGGGCCTTAATGATTAGAATAGGTTTTGGGGGGGCTCCTGAAGACTTAGAATATAAATAATATTAGCACTAAGGTCTCGATCTCCATCATCGTCGCCATCATCATCATCATCATCACCATCATAGAACGGTTCAGACTTGTGGAATTCAGATTCGAAGCTAGGGTTCTGCAGCTCCAGCTGCACGGGCTATCAAAATGACAGCTAACTGGCAGCATTAATGACATTCTGTCTAATTAGTGGCTACTGGGTTTAGGGTTTAGGGGCAAATATCGATGCTCGCCTCCAGTCATGTGTATAAGCAATGCTTGGTTAAGACTGTAACGATATTCGTTTCCTTCGCCGCCGAACCCGCTCAACAACGTCCAAGTATTCAGGTTGTACGTTCTTTCAACTAGACTTGTCCTACCCACCGCCTTGACGCAAGTCTCTTGTCTGGTCAGCCAAGGCGCCCAAGTGAAGCCATGGTCGACTTCCTATCCGGACTCCGCGGGCAGAGCAAAATCTGCCCCGAGGGTCCTCTTTGCTAGAACCTCCTTACTTGATCCGGGAGGCTGCACACAAGGGCGAGTCGCTTGCTTGCTTCCGGCTCAAGGCTGCCAGAGAAGTAAGAGGTGAGTCAACACTGCCCAAGCAAGAAAGAGAGTGTGCTGCATGTCGACCTGCTATGCATCATGTTGGACTAAGAACCGTATCAGGATGAGGCACATCTTCAAAAGCTGCGAACAGCTGCACACACCTGTTGCAAGCTGCCGCCCCCACCCCGGCTCTGACACGGCTAACGTGATCTATGGAACTTGCAAGTGGCCGTCGTGTACATAAGCGGTATGTAGCGGAAAGCAGTTTCGGCTCTCACACTCGGACAATCCAGGCGAGGCAAATGACGGGGGAAAGCAGTTTAGGGTTTAGGGTTTGCAGCATGAACTCGACAGGTGCCGGCTTCGATACTTTTCCTCGTGGCACTGACAGCTTCCACAGACTCACATCCTCAACGGGCGACCTTCTGATGGAAAATCCTTGAAGGCCTGCCCTTAAAACCAGCATCGTTGCAGCAGCAACGCAACAAAAAACTTAGAGCCCCTAAAGCAAAGTCTAAAATCCCTCGACCGTTTGACCCCTGTAGGATCCCTGACTGATCGAGCGCTAGAATCGGACCTTACCACAATAACCTAAACCCTAAACCCCCTAAACCTTCAACCGCGGTGGCTCAGCCTACGCCGAACTCGAGGGCTGTGGCACTCTGGTGGGCGACACCTGGCCGATCTTAGGGGGGGGAGTGAAGGGCTGTAAAAATTCGAACAATACCTGTGAGGGTTCCTTTAAAAGGGTTTGCACAAGGGTTTCTAACGAGGGCTGCTACAAGGGTTAGTTTAAGGGCCTTATCACCGATTAAAATTGTGTTTTTTGGTGGGGGGGGGCGATTTTTGCTATGCTTACATGCTTAATCGTACTTCAGTACAAAGGGCGCGCAGCTACTAATCTTATTTTCTCGCTTCGTTCAACTCTTTCACCCTTCGGAGCATATGATCTACAGTAAGTTCGGCTCCGACCGCTCGGAGGCTCTCTTCGGCTCGTGTTAGGGTTCAGGGCTTAAGGCTTATGGGGTTTAGGGTTGAGGGTTTAGGGTTTAGGGCTTAAGGCTTATAGGGTTTAGGGTTGAGGGTTTATACGGGTATGGCATTACACAAAAGCTTTGAAGTATCAAGCAGCATAAGCTTGAGGGCGTTGAGGGCGTGCCTGGTTTTTTGTCGCTTGTCTCTCGCTTGCTGTGCTGCTGAACGGCAAGGAGGCAGCCTGCGTGACCTCACTGTACAAAGGTCTGCAGTTGCTCTGGAAGAGCCCAGCTGCACATGGGCGGGTACCAGACTGTGCCACCAAACAAAACTCGAAGGCATCAAAGTTTTTATGACCCTGAAACCCAAGATGTTAAGCTTATAAAGCTTGGTCGATTACTCCTATCTCGGACCAGCTCAGGCTGTCGGAAAGACGTCATGCTGGAGAACATCCACGGCTGGAGGCTGAAACTGCAATTTCGACTTAATGTCGATCATGTCGTCAACTGTTAGCTGCTCCTTCATGAAGTCGAAGTTGCTGTCGGCCAAGCGCCCGGTGTCGGCACAAGCTGCATAAAGGTTTTCAAGGTCGTCGATGGCCGCCGCGACGTCCTGAGGCGTTGGCACACCCCCCTTGACGGCGTTGTAGATGACAACCGTGACGGTGACGTGCTCGGTAGCGTTTCGTGCGGGCGAGTTGATGGACAAGCCGTCCCAGACGTCGTGTTCCGTGCCACGCGAGACCCTCGCGGCGCTGCTGTGGCCTGTTGGCACACACCGGGCCTCCGACACTGAGCGCTGAGTCAACTGAAACTGGGGCATGAAGTCATCCATGTCATCATCACACCATCCCTCCATGATCTCCATGCATGCTTCCTGGCACTCTTCGTCTTCTCTTGGCATGGGCGCCCGCTGCTGCAGTGGGACCTGGATGGTCATCAGCACGTTGAAGCGTTGGCCCATGGCACGGATGCCAATGACGCTCGAGGTCGCCTTACCGCGAGCCAAGGCTTCTACCCGCTCCTGGTCCGTCTCTCGCTGCTCGCCGCCCACTTGATGGCGGCTCTCCTCGGCTTCCAGCCAGTAGCGGTGAATCTGGCCATCGTCATCAACTGCATGGTGAAAGAGCTTCTTCGCACCCTGCCCGTCCTGCTGGACGGCCATGCCTTGGCTAGTGCACAGCAACACGAGATTGCGCGGATCGGTATCGCTCATGGTGTTGTAGTTGTAGGCCTCCGTCGCAAACTCGAGCTTCGCCCGGCCATCGGGGCAATCCTCCACCGGAATGAAAGTCGTCTGAAAGCGGATGGAACACTGTGAATCCAAGGTGGAATTCGAGACGTCGGTCTGCTCTTCGAGGCCAGCATAGCTGCCATAGTCACCCATCTGCTGCAGCACGGTCCGGAGTGTGACGGGCTGCAGTGCTCCACCTGCGTGAGAAGCCACGACTGCCACCTCATCAGCAGAGACGACGCCCAGTTTTTCATTCCAGTTGTCACTGCGCACCGTGAAAAGTTGCGTCCCACTCTTGCTCTTGAGGTATGTGTCTGTAATGTTTGCCCCCCAGCAAGATAACGAGCCACCAACTGTCCCACGACTCACATCATCCCAAGAGACCACCTGGCAACTGTAGGTTGCGTAATGGCCCCCCTTGGATCGGCAGGCATCGTTGATGGCCTTCATGGTTGCACCCACTGACGCCATGGCCGGCAGGATTCGAAGGCCTTACTTAAGAGCGGAATGCCTTTCTGATGGCATTAAATGGCTACAGAAGGCTCCCATGTTTCCACGGTTGTTCTGCCAGATAAAGGCGGGCCGACTGCAAATCCTGGAGTAATGGCTCAAGGACTCAAGGCTCTTCACAACCTATATCACCCGGATCCGGAAGAGATGCAGTCCCTACGGTTTAGGGTTTAGGGTTTAGGGTTTAGGGTTGTAAAGCCCCTGAAACAAACCTACATCCCCTCAATCCTGGCATGCAGAAAGCCGCCCGCAAGTCTCACAGTCGGTACGCCGGCGAAGCCCCTCCTCTGTATGAGCTAAGAGACTCAGGATCTGTATCTTGTTTGCCGTTTTGTGTCATCAGCATCACGCCGTTCACTACGGTGGTGATGAAGACGACGAAGGTGACGACGAAAATGACGATGATGATGACGCCGATAATGACGGTGGTGGTGATGGTGCTTACGAGGCGGAAGGGATGACGATGATGGTGATGATGTTGTTGATGGCTCCGTTACGCACGCCTTCAAAAAATCTGGACTGTAGATGCCCTATGCAACATCTTAAGCAGAATCCTGTCGAACTGCAAGGCTGAAACATCAGCTGTCTTGAGGTTTGGGTTTGGGGCGCAGAGCTGCGCTTCGCTTAAAGACAGTTCAGGATGTCAGCTGGTGCATATGCTATATACCCACAAAACCAAATACCACAAACCCCAAACCCTGCGGCCCAAAACTGCTGGCTCCACCAAATCACCCCTGCAAAGGAGATGAGCCGTTGTTTTGAGATTCCCCGCTCTTAGCAGGTCGTTAGTGCATTGATTCTGGCGATCTCGCACACTCATAGCTACGTCACGGGCACTTGTCCTCCGCGGAACATTCGCACCAAATCTTTTTGTTGAAGTGTCCGTCCTTCATGCCCTCGGTCACCTTACTCTCCAGTAAGTCGAGGTCGAGGAGGCCGTAATCCTTTTCGATCCAGCTACACTCTTTCCTGGCCACCCGTTCCCATCCCGCACTGCTGCCCACCCAGACAGACTTGGGCCAAGGGGTGTCGCGCCAGCTGGTGGCCACAGGGCATAAGTATTTCACGATACAGGCCTCGGTGTAGTAGTTCTTGGCGTCCTGGAAAAGCTTGGGGTTCTGGCCATAGGTGCACACATCGTTGCTGGGAGAGCACACATCGATGTTGTACGAAGATATGCCACGGCTCACGTGGAAAGGAAATACTCCACAGCGGTTGAAGCTGTTCTCCTTGGCGAAGTAGGTCATGTGCTTGCTGCAATCCTCGATGCTGCTGACATCACAAGAGAGGTACGAACCCGAATAGTCATCGTGGAAGACTTCCTTGTTGAGCGCCACCGTCGTCACACCATCGCAGGAACCATGCTCCGAGGTAGCGGCATGATGGTCTCTAAGGGCGAGCGTCATTGGGAGCGTCACGAGGATCATCTTGGTAGCCATGGTGAGAAGCCGCCGCAAGGCATTCACAGACGACAAGGTTGGGTGATATTCACAACTGTGAGCCTTAAGGTCAGCGGAAGCAAACGAGACCCGACCAGCATTCAAGATTTTGCTTGCTGGGTGAGGCGGAGACTACATCAACCCTGCAACTGTACGCTGGAACCCGTTTACTTTGATCAGCTTTACCTGACTGGGCGTGTAGGTCTTATATCGGGTGAACGAAGGGTAAAGCTTGGGTAGTGCTTGGGTACTGCCCGCACCCTGTAGCAGTCTATAGTTTGGGTGTATTAGGGGCTATATATGAATAAATTTTGCAAATTATCCCAGTGTTACACAGTGTGTTCAGCACCCACGGTAAAACGTTCAGGCAGGAAAGGTCTAGAGTTATGACCAGACCCACGGCTTGCCAGGCACGGTTTAGGGTTCAGGATGCAGGGTTTAGGGTATAGGGTTTAGGATTTAGGAGAGGGGTGTAGGGCCGTTTAGGGTTGCGGGGTTAGGGTATTTTGGGCTTCGGGTCTAGTTGCTAAAACGGGGTTCCAGAAGCAGCCGTGAGGATGTGAGACATGGGACGAAGTAGGTAGTCTGCAGTTACATGTTTAAACACCCAAAACAGTTTCGATGCTTGCATCTGCAGGGCTTTGTGCTTGAAAAACACAAAATCTCGAAGGATCTAGAGCTTTGGGTGCTTCTGCCATCCGCTCGTCCGGCGTCTAGGATTAGGTTTTCGACTCTCGCGCTCGCACAAGCAAACAGGCATGCAAGGCTCAACTGTGACTGGTCCAGCAGGCAACATATCACCCATCGCACCTGCTTGCCGTCATGCGGGCACGCGCCGCAGCCGCAGATCTATGAGGCCGCCCCTCTTGTAGTTGAAGGCTCAAAGGACCAAGTAAGTAATGTAGGCGCCTGAATATTTACCAATTCTGTTTTGAGGGTTCCTAGCCATAGGTATACTAGAGTATGCCCCAAAACCCTACTCTGAGTAGTGAGCCCGTTTCGTTCGGATATACGTAAGTGGGGTTATACCCCGCAAAACCCCACGAAGGGAAGTTGTAGCTATGATTGCCATTGGTACCATGAACATAATAACTGCGGCGACCTTCATTAATACCATCATGACTCAACTTGGCAGCACGAGTACCATATATCCTCATGTTATCTGCATGAGCATTACCACTTATGCTACGGCACTACTATTTTGACTCCAGCACGGCGTTCTCGAAAGTGTGCTTGGCAGGTGTCGGTAGTACCATTACCAACAAGATGCAGCAACATTCAGACTGTCAGATTACTGATTACTGGTATCACCTGAGCCAGTTCAAGGAAAAAAGACTGAATAACATCGTGAGTGGTTTTCTCAATAACATCGTGAGTGGTTTTTATCATATGACAATCGTGCCTGCAGACGTCTTAGTTCTGGGACCAAATGTGTCGCGAAATATTGAGATGTTGGTGTTCCACGAGGTGGACACTGCCAACCTGTACTAGAAGAGGGTGCGCTGCAAACTAGACGTTCGGAAGCGGCGGTAATCTCCCGCAAAAGGCTAAGCGTCTAAGACCTTCCGGCTTTTGTAGTTCCTGCATGGCTAACCCGACATGGAAAAAGCCCTGTTGGTCAGGCTCTGGCGGCCGAATGGTACTGAGGTCGGAATGCAATGTGCTCCCAAAAGTTCCCGATAGATGTAATGCTCTCTGAATGCGCGCGGCCCGTGGGCCCCGACTATCCAAACCCCACTGTGGGTTTAAAGTTCAGAGGTCTGGTGCTGATAGCCGGGCACGACCTGGATCCTACCTTCCTCTTAAATCTACCTTTCCATCCGGATGATGCGATCTTCGTAAGGAACTGAATTTAAGTTACCATGATAAGGACACCGTATCATTTACCATAGATCCTGACCATGGTATCTTACATGAAGTTGGCTGAACAAGGGCCCAAGAAGTGAATGCTCTGCCGGCTCTTTCTTCTCCTGCACTGGTCCTGGAGCTCAGGCAGCCCACACCGCGTCTTGCAGCGCGAGCATCTCTCCCGGCTTGGCCCTGGATCCCTGGGTTTAGGGTTTAGGGTTTAGATTTTAGGGTTCTGGAGCCAAAAGTTTAGATGTGTTTGGATTTTTAAGCCTTTCCGGGGTTGAGAAAAGTTTAGGTTATATGGCTTTTTAACGATTTCAGAGTTTGGGATATGGGCTTTGAAGGATTTGAACGTCTTTGGTGTTTCCGTTCTTTACCCGTCGAAAGAGCTGAGCTCTACTGCGGCCCTGTTCCCTACCCTGTGCTTGATGTGTGGTCTACAGTTAAGCGTTATTGCGTTTCTTATTGCCAGAAAATAATCCGCTTAGTATCCCCGTTTCCTGCTACGGAGGGTTTCCTGCTACGGGTGCTGTTATTCACACCCGAAACAATACCTTCATCGCCATCTTGTGCAGACCTCCTTCGAGCCTCGAAGGAACCTTGGGTGGGTCGGCCTCGATACTTTGCTTGAACGCCCTCTTGTGAACTAGAGGTTATGGGGTTTTATGGCTAACTGCAGCTAGCTACTGTAGAACCGGAAGAAGTGACTCCACATTGTCTGAAATTCAATTTTCTGTGCGCCATGCCTTCGGCAGCAGGCAACACAGAACAAAAGTGCCCGGGGGGCGGAACCCTAAAGCCTGTACACGAAACACTAAAGCTGAGAGAGGTTGCTGGCCAATTCTGGCAGCGACGATGGTAACAGTCGCAAACATAATCACACTACCCTTCGGGCTCCCGACAGGTCGTTCAAAAACGATTGCAAGGTCAACTTCCATCCTGACTTATCGATCAGAAACCCAAAACCCTAAACCCTAAACCCAAAACCCTAAACCCAAAACCCTAAACCCTAGAATCATAAACCCTAGAAGCATAGGCAATGTGTCCGGATGCGACAGAACTTGCGACTGCGACCCTCATCACCAGAGGCGCTTACTTGATACTCAAAGTCGCCGGGCTCGGCCTGTGATTAGCGTGGCCTTAGGGTTTTAGGGTTTAGGTTTTAGGGTTTAGGGTTTAGGGTTTAGGTTTTGGGGTTAGATTTAGGGTTTAGGGTTTCGGGTTGAAGGTCTAGGGAATATTGCGGACCACGAGGGAAACTGCGCAAGAACCTGGAG